GGACACTTTTCTTTCTACAAACTACCTGTATATTGGGTAGGGTAACTTTTAATTAACTGTGATATCCTTATGCTCTCTTGACTTTTGATAGCATGGGGAAGGTTTTTAGAGGTTTTGAAAAGCAATAATTCAGTGCTGTCCCTTTCTTCAGCCCCCCAAAAGGGCTGTAGAAAGTTCTTTGCTAGGGTACAGGTATATATTTTTTTGTTTGTCCCTAATCCTTTATTCAAGTAAACAAAAAAGTAAAAATCCAATTTTCAGTTAAAGGGCATTTCCTCCTGTGCTATGAAATAGTGCTACATACAATTGGCTTGCTAAAAAACCCAATAATTTCTTCAGAGAATGTCTAATAAAATGAATAGGCTTATACCAATTTCATACTATTTAAGGACAGAGATTCATTCTCTGTTGTAAATGAGATGCAGACATGGAGAAGTGGTCTTAACCTTGCTTAATACAGAAAAAAGAAAGCCTAGGAAAAGTTGCTTGTTTCTGAATGAAAAGCTTTAGCTGCATTTCTGCAAGATTTTTACACTGAAAATGTTTGAATCCATTGCTTTGATGGAGAATTGGTGGTACCAAATTAAATGGAAAAGGACATATCGAGTAATCAGCATATTAAGACTTTTGAAGAGAACTTCAGGTACTTTCCCTTTAAAAATTCTCCTTAAACAAACAAAAAGATATAATAACATTGAGTCTTGCCATGGTTTCAGGATATTGTTTAAACCAAAACATGCCAGATTTGTCTTTTATTATATGTTCAACCTAGTCCAAAGAACTGACTGCCACTCATCTAACTCCAGAGGAGAGGAGGGGAGTGCAGGGCAGTAACCAGACAAGGCAGTGGTGCATTTTGAAGCAGTACTAAGGAATCCTGCTGCACTGACTGAGGTGCTTCAGATGTGGGACACATGCATCTAGCTCCACCCTTAGGCAACCCTTCTCTGTGCAGATTTGCCTTGATTGCAATCCATAGTGAGTTCCACCCATCTATATCCAAAGTGTCATCAATGTAAAAATTTGGTGCACAATGGTTATAATTCTTATTTCCTAAAAACTTAATTTAGAAGAGAATTTGGCTGGTTTGAAGTCACTACTGATGCTGGGAAGGAATGGGCAAGAGACTTGGACCACAGCACTCCCTAAAGTGTCCCATTTCATATGTTTTGTAGTCATGCCACAAGAGGTGTCCAAGCTGAACTTGGGGAAGAAGATCAGCATCCCCAGAGATGTGATGCTAGAAGAGCTTTCTCTCCTCACTAACAAAGGATCCAAGATGTTCAAATTACGTCAGCTGAGGGTGGAGAAGTTCATTTATGAGAATAACCCTGATGCCTTCACCGACAATTCTGTGGTAGGTTGGAAATTAAAACTAAAAAGCTGCTCCATACACCCAGGGGAGACAGGAATAGAGTGTGCCAAAGCTCTCCTCTGTCTGTATGTGTATGGGCTGGGGGTGGGGGTGTCTACGGGCAAAGAAGTGCAGGAAAAAGCCAAAATTGTATAAACACACAAGTTTTATTTTCTTTCGGCAGCAGCATTAGTTTCCTTTGACAAATACTTGGTATCACACATGCAGAAGCATGAGAAAATTCAGTACTGAGTGACAAGGGAGCACTGCATGTTTGGCAGGTGTTCAGAGCTGCACAGGGCAGGATGAATTGTTTTTGTACCCATTCCATTTCTTCTTTGCAAAATGGAAATGATCCATCCAGGTCTGACTTCAGTTCCAGTAGGTGCAGTTCTATTTTTAGCCTAGGATACACTTTCATGCTTCCTGCTGGGCAGAGTCCTCCGCTTATTTCTGCAAGAAGTTCCACAAATGAAAATTCAGACAGAAACCTCTAATTTGGCACTGCAATATCTTCAGTTTATTTGCTAGAAGCTATGTTTGTTTTCTTCTAAACTATTTTCCTATCAGATAGGGTGTATAAATTCAGACATTCTTTTTTTTCCCTTTCCCATGAGTTAGTACTGTTATTTGATCTTTGTTAGTTGCCTGGTGTAAAGTCTTCTGAAGATACTTAAACTTTTACAAATGAAACTCTCCTTTCACATGATTGTCAGTAGTTCAGTAAAACAAACAGAAAATGTTTCAGGTTCATATGTGTTTTGATGTAGCATCTCCTCTTTTGATGTTCTTTACAACTTATTTGGCGTAATTTTATCCCTTTATGGCATCTATTTTCTAGTCCAAGGAAACTTGACCAAAATAATAAAAGTCAAGCTGAAGAAAATGTTCTGCCAAACAAAAACACGCTATTTTTTAGGCCTTTGATGTTTTCAAAAGCAGCAATAACTAAATCTTTGCAGTTCACTTCTAAAAATGACAATTTAGGAAGCAGGATGTGGAAAGATGCCTGAAAAAAAAAAGTCATTAAAATTACAACAGTAGGTCAGATTACAGATCAGGGATGACAGATCAGAGATATAGCAAGCATATCTGGTGTTATTAGACTTTGGGCAGTTTCTTCATCTCTTTGTGCTTTAGGTAGTTCATCTCTTCAGTGAGCTATCTCCTAGAAAGGATGTGAGAATGAATGGTGCGTTGAACTTTGGACTCTTCAGATGAAAATCCTAGAGAAATGCAAGCTGTTTTTATAAATACTCAGCAATCTCAGAGCTCCTAAAACATATGAGGCACAAGTTCGTATGTCAGAATCTGCTGCAGTGAGGAGGAGTGAGGAAATAATAAGGTGAGGGAATAAAAAGGCTGAAGTCCAAACTTAAAAAATTTGAGGGTGTCACTTAAGGGTGTCCAATCAGAGAAATACAAAGCAAATGAGTTGTGACAAACTGACTCAAAACTGGACATGCACAGAGTCCCTCCAAGACTGACATTACAAAGGCTGATGACAATCACTTCTTTTTTGTTGGCTGTTTTTCCTACTTTGTTTATTCATCTGCGCCTGACATTCACTCTATATCCTTTCTGTATGGAATTTCTCCCTCTGCTCTGTAAGAACACCCCTGTTCCCTTGCTCTTTGAGCAAGATTGTAAGATACTGTGCTGTGGAGAGATGTATTTGGGGGTTAGATAAGACCCTAACAAGCCTAGGATTTTCTTCATGGCTTTGCTATATGAGAACAATGGCATAGTCTCCAAACAGCAGCTTGTACTCCACTTTAAGATCCTCCATGATTCACTTTCAGGGCTATCTTTTCTCTACATTCATGGTACAGATACCAACTCTCTGTTGGTCAGTGCAGGAAGACTTTGGTCTGCCCTAGAGCACTCACTCAGGGCCAGCTTAGCAGTATCACAAACATAATTGTTACCATTTGCTGGCTGCCCAGTGCGCTCTGTACAAGGACTCTGCCAGGCTGCATCCACTGCCTCCGTGGATAACTATTCTCATCACTACAGCCAGCATGAATTAGCACCTTTGCTGGCAGTCAGAGCAGTGAGAAGAAGAGCTGAGCTATCGCAGCAACTAAGCCATCCTCTTGGAGAGCTGGTTGCTCTTGGACAGGTAAAGGCAATAGATCTGTAGCCTCACTGTTATCTTCCAAATCATCGGGATAGTGCCTGACCTTAGCACCAGATAACTTTCATCAAAAAGCCCTTTTGATTGCAATATTTGATTAGCTTTCTGCTCCTTTCCTTTCTTGCTCCTGGCTCTGCTCATAGGCAGATGCAGAAAAGAAGGCTTAAAAAAAAGGGTACTGTGGAAGGAAGATAATGGCAAAGAATTCCTACTGCTACTTCCAGTTACTTCCCCCTCCCAGTTAATTTTCATGTCCTTTGCTCCCCATCCCAAAGTCCTTGTGCTTTAAGACTGTAGGATAGTGAAGGGATTTAAAGCTGGTGGTGTGTCTTCTGTTCTTATGTCAAAGATTTCTTAACTGTCTTATAATATTCTCAGGACACACTTAGCAAAGCAGGGCAAGAAAAGGTCTGGGATGGAGTACAGATTATTTCTTTCCCCCCAAAAAAGGTTTAACAGCAAGGTAACGTAATATAAAAACATACAAAGAGAAAGGTTATTAAAAATAAATCCAAACCATATAAGGGGTCCCAGACTAGCCTGTGTTGTAGCCATAAACCTTCCACACAAGGTAGAAGATCTCAGCAGTCATGTGTCATCGATCCACCCTCCTGCTCTTCTCCTCCTCCTTCTCTTCCACTCAAACAACCACACTGGACAATCAGATCACTCCTTACTTTTAGCAGAGAAAACCTATATATATTTTATGCGTGAATATCAGACAGCTCCATGCAAAAGTGAGAACCTGCTACACTCTCTACCACTGCTGCAGCTCCACGCACCCAGTTAAAGGCAAATGGTACCTAACTCACAGTCAGAAGGACTCACCATTCCCAACATGAGCACAATGTAATGCATTACTTACTGTACAGCTGTTTTCAATACTGTGGCACTCTTCTCTTGCAAATATACAGTACAAGGGGATGTTTTTAGGGAGGGCTGAGTTTGACACTTTTAGCACACTGATATCCTGCCAAACAGCAAGAGTTCATGTAACGTCCTCCTTACTTGGTGCTGGAGAAGCTGGTCTCTGCTGAGCCCTGTCTAGTAAATCAGAAGAAGGATTTCTTCTACTCATGCCAGGCTGTGCCACCCTGTTGCAGGAACTGTGGTTCTCTCCATGTCTCAGAGGATATTATCAACCTCACTGTGGAGCTGCAAGATGCAATTTATTACTGACTAAAGACCATTATGAAATCCTACCTTGCTACGTGCTCTAGTGCTGTAGTATCTCACCAACTATAGCATGAAAGCAATTACTACATTTATTTTTAACGGTGAAACTGAACCATGTGGTAGATTAACGAAACACTCAAAATCACAGAGAGGGTCTCAGTCTTATCTCTGGGTCTCCTGAATCCCATTTCACTGTTCAGCAATTAAGAGATTGGCAGAATAGATTCACAGACCTTTTCTCAACTTCATAGTGCTAAATTTGTTTGGCCTCAAACACATCAGGATCATGTGAAACTATGTTTCTTAGCCTTACAGCCCCACTCATTATTGCCCTAATTCCACTCAAGGTCCCTCCTCCGCTTTGGGAACCTCTGTGTAAGACCTTCCTGCTATCATCAAGTGGAAACTGAAAACAAAACCATAATTATGTTTTTTGCATGTTGCTGTTATGCTGTTTTTCTTCCAGTGAGGATCCTTAAAAATAGTCTTTCTGGTAGTCAAAACCTGTGGCCTGATTTGGGTTACATGCAGGAGATAGTTTATAGAAAGACTTGATTTTTTTTCCTCTTTCTGCTTTACCTACCAGATCTGAAACTAAAACCAGTAGGAAGGTGGAATAACCAGTATCTGAGTAGAAAATTATCAGCAGTAGTACATCAAAAAACCCCCGTCCACAAACAAAAAACCCCACCTCGATACTTTCTTGGACTTGCCCACAAGTTAAATGCAGTTTCTACATCTTGGCAATGTTTGTATGAAAACAAGCTGAATATATGTTGGTAGGTAATTTCTGCTGGACTCTAGGTCAAGATGTCTCTTCAGATAAGCTAAGACACCAAATGTGAAACAAAGCACAGGAGGTGAAAAAGGGTTAAAGAATTGGATTACTGTTCTTCTGGACAATGGCAGGAGTTACCCTGTATTCCTTTTGCTGCTGAACAAGAACTCAAAGGAGTAAGCAGAGGTGGCAGGAAGAAAATAGAAGTGGTTGTAACACCAACAGTGATGCTTCACAGCCAACAGAAGTACACAAGCAACCTGCTTCAGAGGTCTTACATGTTAAATAGCCAGGCATGATACAGTGTGTGAAGGAAAGCATAACAATGGAGGAACAGACATGTTATCATGCAGCTACTTGGTTTAATGCACAAGTGTGCACTGATGTACTTAGAAGAATGCAATCAAGATCACTAGAGGTGGGGTTAAAGGGAAAATGTTAGGAAACACATTCTTTCTAGAAAGTCTGTTCTGCAGGGAATATTAAACCTCTTGAACAAATGTTACAGGATAACCGCAAACTGAGATATGAGAGTCTTAGGTTACAACCTAAGTGGAGTGAGCCAGCTGAGACGTAACTTTTCTAGCAAAATGATGAGCCTTGCTGTGCTGGAGTTGGATTGGTGCAGAAGACCTAGAGGTCCGAACTATACTCAAAGCTGCGTAAGAGTGAACGTGAAGTCTGATGCCTTTTTACTGAAGAAGTGATTTATGTGGAAACAGCAGAATGACAAGAAAGGCATTTTATTTTCCACAGCAGTTTGTTGGAGCACTGTGAGAAAACTTTGGACTGAAATTCTGAAACTCAGTTTCTTTCATTCACAAATAAAATGTGGCAAGGATGATATAAAATATGCAAATAAGATATAAATAATTTTGGGTAGTATTAGATAAAAATTCCCATTATTTAGATGGGTAAATTCAGGCATAGAGGGGCAAAATAATTTGCCTAAGATTAAATAAGTCAGAAGTAAACTTGGAAATAGAAAGCAGGAGCTCAAGTTATTGAACTGTGCTTCCTGGGGGAGCACGTTTAAAAAAAAATAGATTAAGATACTTTAACAGCTGATGTTACTTTTTATTTTCATCCTTTTTTTTTAAAGTGAATCATAGGTTTAAGGCCATGCAACTCCAAATTAAGGATCAAGGCACACACTTCAATAAAAACAGGAGGCACTCTATGAGACTCTCCAACTGTCTGCATTTTAAATTTCCCATCCCACCATTAAGGAGCATTTGAGTGTCTGCCACTGAGAGGACACGGTCACAGTAACTTCAGAAGTGTTAGTAACCACATAGGCATCAAACCTTTGGGAAGCTCTTTATCAGTGAGGTGGAAATAGAAACACATTTGGTGGCCTCAATCATTCTCTTTAGGGCACAGCAAGGAGCTGACGGGAAGCACACGGTGTCTCCTGCTGAGGACTGCCTGCAGTGGCATCAGGGCCTTGAGATACTTAGAGATCTCAGCTCCATTAGTTGGATCATCTTTCATTATCTATTTTTCATGAGGCACATGCAGTAACTCTAGAGAATTCAGAATTCATCCATCTAGGCACTCAGCCTGCAGGATCAGGGTCTTGCTAGCACTAAGGACTTCAAAGACATGAGCCCAATTTGTTTAGCTAACCCAGGGGACTAACACATCACATGAACTTGCCACAATTGTTCTCTTGTTAGAGTGGATTTAGGGACACCCAGGGACTGATAACATCCACTACCTCCAGCAACGCACAGACAGGGCAGACCTTACCACAGAGGGAATGTGTGATCTGGCCCCCAGAGCCAACAGGAGGTTATTGGCCTTCTCAGCTGACACTCCTGGGCTTCTCTCCTGGAACTTCCACCAACAGGGTCAATCAACCCTGAGAGGTCAGTTTTGTGATGTGAACATGCAAATATGTAAAAGCTCCCCATCCTGTTAGCAATGGCCCAAGACATGCATTCCCCTCACGTGTAAGCCGTATTTCACTCTGAACATTCTGACCAGAGGCAGGAAGTTCTAAGTACTGGAACCAAAGCTGCACCTACCCAGCTTTGACTACGTTGAGACTCCTGCTTAAGGTTGCCGTTCCTGAGCTCCGCTCTCTTGGAATGAGCTTGTTTGAATCCACCGAGGTTCAGTATTTAAAAAAGATGAATTTGCCTTTGCCTCCTGTTACAGAAAAAGAAGATTCTCCTGCTAATTTGAGCTAAGACAATCTATTGTGGTAGCCAAAACTAAAGAAAATTAGACCAGGGTATTACATGGAAAAATGGTTCTTTGCTCTCTGAATGGTGATGTCTGCTGAACATAGGATGTTTTCCCAGCAGGTCCATGAAGAATCACAAACTAGCTGGAGACCAATCAAACTAATTTAATTTGCAGCTAAAGATTTAGGTGTCGCTTTCCTGAGGCAGACCTGTGTTTCAGAGAAACTTCACTCCTGCTTAGTGACAATACTGCAATTTAAAATAATACCAGATGACAATGGTGCCCCTTCCTGGTGACATCAAACACTGCTGTGTACAAAATAAAACCTGCCCCTTTTACTATAGTTCATGTTATGCTGATGTTTTGTGACTTTCGGGCTTTTTCCCACCAGGAGAGTGCATGTAAGTAACCAGAGGAGAAGAGAAATAAGCATTTAATTCTTAGGAAGGGTAAATAGCATGGGTGAAACTTGAAGGAAAACAGATGCAAATCCTGTTTTGAAATTACTGCGCAAATCGGTGGAAGCATTAACCTTGCATATATATTGATATTTTGAGAATAACCTTATTCTGACCCCTAGCCATCAAAACCCCCTTTTTTTCAGTTTGCCTTTTAAAAGCTACATAGCTCCCACGCATAATTAAACAGATTGCCCTGCTAGCTGCTGTGTACAACTTAATGCTCACAATCCTTTCCCTTCCCAGTGCTTCCTGACATTCAGGGGAACATTATCTCCTCTGTTCCTAAAAAGGGAATTCCCTACAGCTAGGAGGACAGACAGTCCCTAAAGGCCCTGGGGGCACCAGCTCTGCCACTTCAGCCTGCAGCTGGCTGCCTGCCTGGGTTGCAGCCTGGTGACCTGCTGTGAAACCCTGGATGCTGTTGCTGGAGACACAGGGAGCAGAGGGTTAGATAATTCTGCCTTGAGCCTTGTGGGGTTTTCACTTATCTATTTTTAGCTGACCGAACAGCTGGCCTTGGAAGCCTGTTTACCGCCTGGAAAGCTGCTTTTTTGCTAAACTGCACTAGGTGTAAGAGCCCTAAGAAAGCCTTAACCCTTCGAGAGCCAGCCCTGAGGTTGGCACTTGTCTCCCATTGACTGACTGAGATGCATTTATACAGGCAGAATTGCAGCATGAGGAACCACACAGCTTCAGCTGATATGTTACATCTTTGCGCTTCTATAGCTAATCCCCTAGTCCAACAGGAAAGACCATATGTGATACATAACTTAGGTTACTGGTATTATAGAACTGTGTGGGCTGTAATATACAAGAGATACTTTTTTATATCTGATAGGAGTCAAGCTTTGATCTCACTTATGACCAATACATAAAACATTTTTCCAAACATATTGTATCAGCTTCTTTTCCACACAAGTATTAATTAAAATTGCTGTGTGCAAAGACAGGACCTTGTGCTGGCACCACACGGTCTATAAATCCTGCACGGACTATGTGCTCTTTCACTATGTACTGCAGGGATTGTGCTTTCTAGCCTGGACTGGGGAGAGTAGATAGCCTGGACAGTAAGACCAACTTGACTTTACTGATGGATACAGCTTGCATTCTTGCCTTGTTACTGGTTAGATTTGGTTCATTAATGCATGTATTGCTACAAACAAAACTCTTCCTTTCTGTCATTTTCCTCTTGTGGTCTCCAGGAAATCTTTCATGTTTTCCCAGGCTGCTATTTCTTCGGTCTTTCTCAATGTGTAAATACCCTTCCCCATGCAGACCTTCATACATATAGAAAACAGACATACAGGCTTTTATGTTGCCACAGGTACCCTGTCATTCTACTGCCCTGTAACACTTAGCTCCCACACTGTAATCAAGCTGACTTAGCTGGGCTATCTTAACCTTGACATGAAAACACTTCCTATTTCTTGTCCAGCTTGCTTTCCCACAGGTTAGCCAACGTATCTCTGTCTGGGCCTTTACCTGCTCTGGCAAAATCTGTATTTCTCCCTTTCCCCTGTATTTCATGCTGATCACTGCTGGGGACAATACACAGATCCCTCTCTTCACACTTGGATCATAAAAAATGACTATGAAGTGTCCATTAAAAGGTGTGCTTCCATTACCCTTGTTGCTGTTCTACAACTGCTCCTACATGGAATATAGAGAATAACTCACATGAAGTTCTGCCGCTGGTTTTGTAATTGAGATGCAAAACTGGTCAGATCACAGGGACTTAGGAGTTCACATTCTGGGACACAGCCCTGCCAATGTGAATGGACCATGTCCTGTAACAGGGATTCCTACTCTCTTTTCTCCTGCCCTAGGATCACTTTCAGAAGTTCATCCCACCAGGAGGGCATTACAGGGAAGATGCTCATGGCTATGCCCACGGGCGGATGGTAGGAGGAGTGACAGCTGGGCAGCATGGCTCCAGTAAGCAGCAGTATCCCGCTGTTCCTCCTAGGCCTGGAAACAAAGGAGGCCCTGGGGACAGCGAAGGGGAGCGTGCAGGGGAATCAGCTGGAAGTGGTGGAGAAGGAGGTGATGGTACTGAGAAAGGCAAGTATCTCTTTGCGAGAACAAGAAATAGCTCGAGCTATCAGAGCTTGTGCCAACCGTAGTCTTAGGGACAAGTAAATTAATCTGACTAAAACCTGAATTCTTCCAAACTAAGTTTCATTGCAAAGTCTAGAAAAGTTGAACTGCCTTTAGCTTAACAGTTTTGTCTGCATGCTTCTGTGTTGCTCAATCACAGGCAAAAAGCAGAAATACCTTCCTTGGCTGGACCAAAGAAATGATGGGAAACTTAACTACTGAGCTCCTCAGGTTGATACAGCAGTATGCCAGTATGGCATACCCTTCCCTTTCAAGGGTTTCACACCGACTGCTACTGGAGACAGTAGTATTAGCTCTTTAGCTCAGTAATCCAACCTGACTCATCAGTCTTGAGTATATCAGCCCTGATTTCAAATCAAAATTTTCACCTAAACAAACAGCACTTTTTTGATAATCTTCAGAAAGGAACAGAAAGATTTCAAAAAGTTATCTGGTAATCACCACTGGTCTACTGAAACAATATCTTTATGAGTAAAAGTATTTCAAATTGAATTTAGTCCTTGCTTAATTTTATCCTTCGTTTGGTTTGGCCAGAAACCTCAAGAACCAAATCCCTTGTATGAAAATCAGCAGGTGAAATCATTATTTTTAACAGTCCCTATGAGATTTTACAACAAAAAGCAAATTTGCTTGGGAACCAGGAACCTCTGTCATAAGTGACCAAATGAGTGACTTGTAAAATCCAAGGTTTTTCATTTACATTCTGGAACAATGTCCATTTTATATCAAAATCACCTTTTACATTTTGGGGCATCCCTGCGAAAAAGAAATCTGTGTAGACTGTCTTCTTATAGGAAATTTTTCTCCATTGTTATCCTATGTCTGTGTGCAGGGAGAAGGAGGATTAACATCATCCCATAGCTTGTACTGCAGAGGTGGATCCCAACTGCTTTTATTTTTCAACCCTAGCAATCAATTTACTTTTAAACTACTTAGTTTAAGTCAAGTCCTTCACACAGAAAGAGGAGGGTAGTTGTTTTTTTTTTAATGAAAGTGAGATTCTTGTTCATGTCTGCAATTCTCTGAAACCAGGAAAGCCCAGGATTTGGCCAGGTTTGAAGAAAATAAGCAAAACAAAGAAAGAAGGTGTGATAAAAAAGGAAGTTTCAGATAAGAGTAATAGTGTTCATTCTTTGCCACTGACTTCATAAGGATTTACGCTTTCTACACAAACTATAGCATCATGAAAGCGCCAGAATGTCTAACGCCATTAACCTATTATTCCTATCTGCTTTAAACAAGCTAAGCAGAAGTCATTGCTCAGGAGTTTTAAGCTTTATGAGGGATGAGAATCTTAAAAGTGTGCTACATATCAATACACAACCAGTTATTAACAAGGTGGTATTATACACAACTGCAAGGAAAAAAAAAAAAGAGGCACACAGAATGAAAACCGCTGTCTAAGCTCATTTGCTTAATGGAGCAGCCAGAAGCTAACATAAGATTTCTGGCAATCAAGTATCTGACTTAACAGCAAAGTACAGCTCTGTCATTGACAGGATTTTAACGTCCAGAGAGATACTCCATCATGTTTTCAAACTGCTTTCAGTCATCCTGAGGTGTTTCAGCCAAACTTGTCTCTAATATCCTGGCTCAGAAGAGGGAAAATATGAATGTCTGTTCATGTAATCACAAACAAAATGCCAACTTATAAAAATACTGAGACAAGGGAGATGGTAATTTTAGAACATTCAGGAACAGACTACTGAGGAAAACATTAGGAAAGATGGTTGTGGGTTGCCAAGACCCTGAAATACGATAGTTAAAGGTTTTTGGTCAGAGCCAACTTCAAAGTTTGAGCCTAGTTTTGGAGTTTATAGTCAGGGCTTTGTTGCATCTGATAGTGATTATGAGGTTTATGTGGAGGGGTTATGTCTGCTATGATCAGACAGAGAAGAGAGAAGTAAATTATGAAATTAGATAGCATTTTGCCTTGTATAAAGCTTCTCCTGAGGTA